CATGTGCTGCTGGTCAGAAGCCATGAGGACGAAGGCACAAAAGGTGGGAATGGAGAACCTTAAAGACCAAGCCCATGCCTGGCTGTGCCCTGGCTCCTCTTGCCATGCACTTCACCGAGCGCTGACAAACTCAGGACAGGAGACAGAGACTCAAGACACCCAATCCACTTCCTCAGGTCCCTGCCCCAGGTAGACTTGGACCAATGAGGACACATTTTTGTTCACTGGAAAAGATAAAATGAGAACTAAGGGTTTTGATAATAAAAACAGTAACACTAAAAACAAGGAGCTCAGACTCTCATTGGGGCATATATGGGTGATGTAAGGGGTTGAGGAAGTAAAACCAGGCTGTATGGCAGCTGGTGCGGAGGGAGGGTGGGAAAGTAGAAGAGGGCTGAAGTTGGGGAGGAACACTGCTGTGGTGTGAAGAGACAAGGACAAGGACAAGACACAAGGGACTTGGGACAAGGAGGTTGGCAGGGATTGGGGGATGCGCTGAGGGGGAAGGTGTCAGGTGGCCATCAGCAGAGAAGCTGAAGCCAGGAATCATGGTAAGGGGGCAAGGGCATGAGACCAATGTCTGCAGAAAGAAGAGTCAATAATTATAAAAATAAGTTTTAGTAGTTAAAAAATCCACATACAGAATTTGTACAAGATATCTAGTATAAGAGGTGATTTTAAATTACAGCATAGAAAAAAAACCGGAGGGAACATCTAAGAGAGGGCAGTGACTGGTCAGTTGTGTATTAAACATCGACAAATATGTGGAGAGTGCCTACCACGTGCCAGGGATTGCTCTAGTATATTAACTGCATTTGATACTGAATAAATCGTAATCTGCCCTCACAAGCTTCCATTCTTTAAGCATTGGCGTCTGCTGCCACAGGCACATAATGAAGGTGCAAATCTGGAAAAGATAAAGAAATTGAGAGATGAGCTCTGAGATCAAGGGAAGTTGGGCGGGGGGAGTGGGGGGCAAGGGGTGATAGCTTGAACTGGGGAATCAGATTCTAAAACGTTGACTATAGATCAGGTACACAGTAGGTGCTCAATAAAGATGTGTGAACTGAACGAATAGCTCCCACCTTCCTCCATCGCTTCATCTCCCACTCGTCTGCTCTAGCTGCCATCTTGATGTTGCTCAAGCACTGTCTGGCTTTGAAGGCCATGCACTGGTCCCTGGGCCTCCCCATTCTGTAGTCTGGCTGACTCTTCCCTCATTGCCTGTTGTCCTTGGTGCAGGCAGCCTCCACATTTGCCAGCCTGAGAGCTACTGTGGGCAGGATCCCTACCAAGGAGCCTCTGGATCCCTGGAGGAGGGGTTCAGAGGCCCAGTTTACCTGGAGGACACTGCAGTGACTGCTTCCTCCTCTTCTTGCACAGCATGTAGAGCAGGGCTCCAGTGAGGAGGAAAACGATGCCCAAGAGGGACAGCACTGGCACCATGGCTGATGTCCCAGCTGCAAGACCCACATTCTCTCCCAGCTGCCTCTGGTTCCCCCTGGCCCCAGGCCTTGCCCCCAGATGGTGGCCCAAAGTGTAAGTGGTAGTCTCATGGGTGTGGATGAGCTTTTGGTCCAACAAAGTTGCTCCTTCTGGAGGGATGGGCTGCTGGGTAGGCTGCAGGGTGGATGGCAGGTACTTCTGTGAGGGGGTGCCCGTGGCTGAAGGTGTCTTTTCTGTGGGCTCAGGAACCTGGGTGCTGCGGGGAGGTACATGTCCTTGGCGGGCCACACTCCTGGCGTGAGCACGTCCACATTCTGAAGAAGCAAGAAGTGAGGAATCAGGACTATGAGGGGATAAGCTGAAGAACTAGATAGAGGGAAGGGTAGTGGGTCAAGGAGAACATCAAGGGAACAGCTAAATGCCAGGAAAGAAAGGCAGGGGCAGAGGGGAAACATGGGGAGATGGAAGTGAGCAAACCACAACATGGAACCACTGGGGCGAGCATGCATTCTGAACTGGGAAGTCAGGAGACCTGGGTTGGAACCCAGGCTCTGCTACAAAGTAGCTGTGACCTTGCCCCTTGTCTCTTAACCTCTCTGGGATTCATTTCTTTCAGCTGTGAAGCAAGGATAATTTTAGTACTAAAGGCCAGAGTAGCCAGGAAGAGTAAATGAATAAGGTAGGTCTACGTAGCCAAAGGGCAGTATGGGTACCACCAATGCTACAGAAGACAACTTTAGCTGGGACCTGGAAGAACACTTTGTGTCTTAATGGTTGTGTATTTATTTTAGGAGAGAAATACAACCAGCATATCAAATTTGTGACTTCACAGATGTTCCTGCTTAGGACTAGTGTTGCCATTAAGTTTTTCAGAAGTGGCTGTGTACATTTAAGATTTATTCGTTTCATTGTTTGTAAATTTTACCTCAAAAGAAAAAAAAAGGTACAATAAAATATAAAACCCTCCTTAATAATATACATGATGAAATGTCTGGGGATAAAGTATAGTCAACCCTGCAACTTACTTGGAAGTGCACCAAAAAATATTAGGCAGGTTGATGAGGAGTAGAGGGATGGATAGACAGATGGGCGTGCAATAAGGCAAATATAGTTAAAATGCTGTAGACTCGATATTGTAAAATATAAAATATATATGCTTTATTATGTACACACATAAAATATAAAAATCAAATATTATAGAATCTAGGTGGTGGGATGTTCACTGTACAAATCTTTCAACTTTTATATATGTCTTTAAATTTCCATAATAAATTACTGGAAAATAAAAATAGTGCCTTGATTTCAAGGAAAACATTAAGTAAATGCACAGGTGATAGGATGAATTGGCAAAAATCCTGGAAGTGACGGTGAGTGATTTCTGGTAAACAGGGACTTAAGTGAAAGTACACAGAATAGGAATGTGAGGTGTCAAAGGGGAAAGGGCTGAGGCAAAGAAAAGTGTGAGGTGGAGGTGGCCGAGCCCTGGAGACAGAGCCTGGGGAGGAGGGGGAACGCGCTCACCTTCACGATCAAAGCAGCGCATCAGTTCCTGGACCCACCGGTCACTGCTGCCTCCACACACACTTCCCAGGGGTAGCTGGAACCTGTAAGGAAGGATGTGGTCTCAGCTGTGTCTCCAATCTCCGCCCCCCTTCTCTCCCCCCACTTTCCCAGCTCTTTCCTCGTTCCAAAGAAGTGAGGTCACTGCCAAGATTCAGCAGTTTCTGCTGGGACTGGGAAATTCCAGGCGGAACAGGGAAACTAAGGTGTGGAGAATTAGGGCACACATAACCTAATGTTATGGGGACTATAGAAGGGACTAGGGGTCCTCCCAGAAGGAGTTCAAGTTTGACCAGAGAGGGTCCTGGAGGCACCCGGAGGCTCTGCGCTCCCAGGGGTGGGTGAGATTACCTGACGTAGGAAGAGCAACGTTGATAGACTTTCAGGTATTTTCGGAGATGTCCCACGTATTGATCGTTAGGAGGGGAGTGGGAAGAAATTCTTCTATCACAGGGACAACTGCCAGCGACGCTACCTTCATTGCCATCGCCTGAGCGGGACCGAGGTGGTCAGCACAGTTTCCCAGGTTCAGGGGCTCACGCAGCGGTAAACTTAGCCTCCAACCCACAGCCCCACTGCAGCCTCTCCCCTAGACCCGGGGATCTGAGCCCCTCGCACCCCCAGGGCTCAACTCACACATCACACTCCCCAAACACGTCCATAATCACACCTGGGCCCTGGTGTTCCCCAGCCCGTCCCCAACCCCAGGCCCTCCCCCTGCCCCGGCTGCCTTGGGGACCCTGGCTCCCCACTTATTCAACTCAACCCCGCGGCCCCCGTGCCCCCCATCCCCTTCCCCGAATTCGGGGATCTGGGAACCAGCCGGGCCCCTGACGAACCTGGAGGAGTGTGGCACAATAGAAAGAGTAGGAGCAAGAGGATCCGGAGTTCCCAGCTCAGCATCATCTCGGGCCCGCCTCGCCCTGTCTGACTCCCAGACGTGCTCCAGCCGGTTTCTCAATGGCTTTCGCTTCCTTCTCCCGCTACGCCTGAGATTCTGCGGGAGACGGCGGCCGTCGGCACCAAGGCCGGGCCGAGGCGAGGCGCGAGGTGGCGGCGCCTCCCTGTGGGCGCCCTCACCGTCTCGAACCAGTAAGTGCGGTCAGTACCGTTGTAGCCGCGTGATCGTCAGCCTGGGGCGGCGGGGAAACTCCGGGAGGCGGAGCGCCTCTGCCCGCGCTCCCGCACCCAGCCCAGTGCCCCGTCGAGGAGGCAGCCAGGAATGTTTGAAGAAGGCGAAAGAAAGCGGAAGAAAGTCCAGGCTGCAGGGCCAGGCGTGGCGGGCGGGCACTGCCCACTAGGCTGATCCGGTTCGGCCCGGGGATGTCAGCCCCGCCCGCCCTCCGCAGGTCAGTCGGCTGGACCTCCTCCTTCGAGAGGCTTTCACTTTTCGGGCTCGGGTCCGGCGCACTGGGATCCAGTCACAGATCCAGTCACATGGCTGGAGTGACCGCGGCAGACGAGTCCGCGCGCCCAGCAGCACACTGACTGCCCTGAGCGCCTCTGCGCCGCGCAAGACACAGGGGGCGTGGCAACCCGAGGAGCCGGCGGAGGGCTCGGGCAGCCTGACGTCACGCCCCACCCCGAGGTATTTACCTTCGAAAAGTGGTGGCGGCTGCAGGTACCGGAGTAGCGGACCGGACGGGAGGGGCTAGGTGTACCGGGGCTCACCGCCAAACCTATCCAAGCCCAAGATGCCCTAGCTCCTGTCCCCCTCCTCCCACACCCCACAGACGGATCCAAAACTCTTCCCTCCTCACCAAACCCTTGCCCATAGGATTAGCCCTCTCCCACTTCTCTCCTCAACTTAAACCCTACCTTTGAGGGTTTGAGCCTCAAATTTTGAGCCCCAAATACCATCTCCCTCCCGACTACTCATCCTTAACCCTATCACCCACTTTCAAGTCTGGACCCCATTCTCACCCTGAATTCCCATCCTCCGCCCTGAAAACTCCTTCCTCACTCCTAACACTCATCCATAGATTCCACCCTAAGTGACCCTCAAACCCACAATCTCCCCCATTTTATGACCCAGCCCCAAACTCTCCCGAGTACCTCTCTCTCACCATACATCCCTCCCTCTGCTCAGTCTGGGCCCAGGCCTTGTTTCCCTGAAGACATGGAGTTTGTGTCTGGATACCGGGATGAGTTCCTTGATTTCGTTGCCCTCCTCTTTGGCTGGTTCCGCAAGTTCGTGGCGGAGCGCGGGGCCGTGAGAACCAGCCCGGAGGGTTGCTGGTGGCAGCTGGAGGCTCAGATCAGAAGGCTGCCCCAGGACCGCGCCCTTTGGGTGCTCCACGTCTTGCCCAACCGTAGTGTGGGCATCAGCCTGGGGCAAGGGGCAGAGCCAGGCCCTGCACCAGGCCTGGGGGCTGCCCGGCTCCTGGGAGACGAGCCCCCACTCCACCTGCGGGACCTAAGCCCCTATGTCAGCTTTGTCAGCCTGGAGGAAGGGGGAGAGGAGGAGGGCGCAGGCACCGAGAAAGTAGAAACAGAGGCGGATGGGAAGCCAGCCCCTACCAGCAGGGAGTCCCCACGGGAAGCAAACCCCCCAGGGGAGGCAGACGGGGCCCAGCAGGAGGCAGGAGGTGGCGAGGTCAGCTGCCAAGAGGACAGAGCGGAGGACAAACCAGGGCCTGAGAGAAGAAAGGGACAGAGAAGTGGTAAGAACCCAGGGCTGGCCCTGCCCTGCCCCCGCCCAGGCATACTCCCCTTCAAAGCCCTCCTCTGCCCCTCAGAATCCAGTTAGGAGTCACAAATGGGTGGCCCTCAGGCCAATCTGGCCTAAAAAGGTGTCTTCATTGATCCACAATGTTCTTTGTTTTTTTAAATTTGAGCCAACATTTAAACATTAAAAGAAAAAACTTCCAGAAGTCTGGAGTTACCCCTTCTCAAGAAAAATGTAAAGTTCCCACAGCAGGCCCACATTTCCACCCCGCAGCAAATGCTGGTTCTGTGTAGCCGCAGTCCCCTTCCGATGAGGCGTGCCCTCTCTCCCTAGTCCCCTTCGCTCAGTCTCCTAGTCCCCGTGGGCATTTGATTTGGTATCCCTGACCCTGACAGTCTTTGCCCCCGACTCTTCCCTTTTTCCCCAGAGGCGGCCCCCCTGCACCTTTCCTGCCTCCTACTGGTGACGGATGAACACGGCACCATCTTGGGCATTGACCTGCTGACGGATGGAGGGCAGGGGAGTGCAGGCAGGGGCTCAGGGACACAGAACCTGGCTCCTCGGGCCTATGCTCTCCTCTGCCACAGCATGGCCTGTCCCATGGGCTCTGGAGACCCCCGAAAGCCCCGAAAGCTTACTGTGGGAGACGCCCAGCTGCATCGGTACAGAAACCTGGTAGAGGGTGGGGAAGCCTGGGGCCCTGGGCTCCTGAGCCCCCCAGCCTGATGCCGTCTCCACCCCCATTCAGGGAGCTGGAGAATCTGGTCCCAAGGCTGAAAGTGAAGCTAACCAAGACCCCGATGCGGACATGGGGTCCCCGGCCCGGCTTTACCTTTGCCTCCCTTCGGGCTCGAAACTGCCATGTTTGTCACAGGCATAGCTTTGAAGTGAAGCTAACCCCCTGGTGAGCAGCCTGCAGAGATGGAGGGAGCGGAAGGAAGACCCCAACAGTCAGGCAAACAGAGAGGAAGCAGGCTGGGGTGGGGGGCCCTGCAGACAGACAGAATGAGGGACAGGGAAACAAGAAGATGACACACACACAAAAAAGCTGTTATAGGCACAGAGAGTACAAACAGACTGAGTGCGTACGGGCAGTCGCAGGACAGATGGACAGCAGACAGGGGACCTACAGACACTAACACTGAGTGCCCACCCCTCCCCGTGACCCCAGCCCCCAGTGTGGCGCTGTCTTGTACTGCGGAGAGGCTTGTCTCCAGGCTGACTGGAAGCGATGCCCAGATGATGTGAGCCATCGATTTTGGTGCCCAAGGCTTGCAGCCTTCATGGAGCGGGCCGGAGAACTGGCAACTCTGCCTTTTACCTACACCGCAGGTACCCTAAGAAGGTCAGGATGGGTGGGGGAAAGTGGGAGCCGGTCTTTGGAACTGGGGCCCCAGGTGCCTGGGAACAGGGTCCTGGGCTTGAAGGCTAAGTGCCTGGGGCTGGAATCTAGATCCCTGGAATAACAGCTGGGTGCTGGGTATTTGGGGCTGGGGGCTAGACCCCTGGGGCTGGACACAGCACCTCTGGAGCTGAGAACTGAGCGCCCTGGTCCCTGAGAGAACTTATGGGATTCGGGAGTAGGGATTCAAATACTTGCTTCTCAGCTTCACCACTAACTGGTGACCTGAAACAAATCGCTTTACTTCTTAGAGCTATTTCCTCAACTGTGAAATGGGCAGACTAACAAATGTTAAAACGCATGGAACTGTTATATGGGTTCTGTGGGCTATGCTGTAGACACTCAGAAATGTTAATAGTTCTCTGCCTGACTAGAACCAGACTCAGACTCAGGGTCCTGGGGAGAGACTGAGGAGAGCCAAAGTCTGGAATCCTGGCCACCAGGCCCTCAACCCCTCCCCTCATCCTTCTCCAGAGGTGACCAGTGAAACCTTTAACAAGGAGGCCTTCCTGGCCTCACGAGGCCTCACTCGTGGCTACTGGACCCAGCTCAGCATGCTGATTCCAGGCCCTGGCACCCTCGGGCACCCAAGGGGCAGCACACCATCCCTCAGCGTTCTTCTCAATGGTGCGTGGGGCCTCTCTCCAGGCATAAGTCCCTCAGACTAGAGGGAAGGACGGGAGAGCAAAAAGTTGTCCGGGTCCTAGATAACCCCTCCACATACACACCAAACCTCACCACCACCACCAGGGCATTTCATGCCTCTCCTCAACCCTCAGAAAAGTCACCCCTGCCCAGCCCATCCAGAAGCCCCATCCCTAGGCAGCTCCCCATTCCTCCTGCTGCAGCTCCAGGCCCTCTCAGGGAACACAGCTCCTTTGGAAGAAGGAAGAGGCCAGGTGGGGACCTCCCTGACACCAGGCTCCTCTTCTTTCATCCTCTCAGGAGATCCCTACCAGCTTCTTCAGGGGGATGGGCCTGCTCTGATGCCTCCTGTGCCCCCAGATCCACCCAGGGGCCTCTTTGGTGAGCTGGAGGGGCCCTGAGGGAGCTAGGGGTAGGGACGGGGACTGGAGGGCCAGCAGACTCGGTGGCTGAGAAAAGGGGCTATTGGACAGGAGAGGTGAGGGTCCAGGCCTGGGGCAAGGTCCCCAGTAACCCACTCTCCCCAGGCTCGTGGCAGGATTACTACACATGGCGGGGCCTCAGCTTGGACTCCCCCATGGCTGTGCTTCTCACCTACCCGCTGACTATGTACTACGTCATCACCCATCTGGTGCCCCAGTCCTGTAAGGAGGGCGGAGGCAGGGGGAGGAGTGCGTGGAGCAGGAGGGCCGGGGGGCGGGGGTAGGGGACAGGAGGGAGGGGAGGAGGAGACCGTATTCTTAAATGACTAGCTTATCACCCAGTCCCTGAGCTCAACATCCAGAACAAACAGTCACTGAAAATCCACGTGATGGAGGCTGGGAAGGAGTTTGACCTCATCATGGTGTTTTGGGTAAGTCCCTCCAGGCCTGAGGGTTGAGCATTTGGGTGTGGAGGTGGATGCAGGGTGGGACCCAGATCTGTCCTCTTTGCCCTTCAGGAGCTCTTGGTCTTGCTCCCCCACGTGGCCCTGGAGCTGCAGTTTGTGGGTGACAGCCTGCCCCCTGAGAGTGACCAGCAGAATTTTACCTTGCAGAGGGTGAGGGCTGAGGGGGGTGCCCTGCTCTTTAGCCGTAACCCTCCTGCTGTCCTCCCAGCTGGGCTCTGCCCTTCCGATCCCTGCCTCCTCTCCCCTGTCTTACCTGATGCATCTCCCAGTACCAAAACTTCCACCGGCTTCTCCACCCCACTCCAAACTCCCCAGGATGACCTCGAAGTATCTGTCCGTCCTGGTTCCGGGGTATCAGCACGGCTAAGCTCTGGGACTAAGGAGAAGGGGGGCCGCAGGGACCTTCAGATCAAGGTGTCTGCACGGCCCTACCACCTGCTCCAGGGGCCCAAGCCTGACTTGGTTATCGGTAAGCGCTTGGGGTAGGAGCATGGGGGAGGTGGGAGGAGGCCCTGGGAGCCAGCTTCTCCTTGCTCTCCTTTCCTCCGCAGGATTTAACTCTGGCTTTGGTCTAAAGGACACTTGGCTGAGCTCGCTGCCCCGGTTACAGGTGCGGGATGGGACAAAAGGGACCTTCTCTCACCTCCTGCCCGGTCCCTCCTCCTTTTCTGAAAGTCTCTTCTTCCCCATCATCTGCTCTACAGACCTGGGGTGCGCCAGCGGGTCCTCCTGCCCCCCTCTGTGCCTGCCTCGTGCCTCTCCCCATCCCGGTCCGCCTGGGTCCTCGGGAGGTACGTGGGGTTGGGAGCCTTTCTGAGAGTGTCTGAGGCCCCGCCCCCACCCCAGTCCCTCCGAGTGCCGGCCTTCTTCACCGAGAGCAGCGAGTACGGCTGTGTGATGGACGACCAGACCATGGCGGTGGCCACGGGAGGGGGCACCAGCCCTCCACAGCCCAACCCTTTCCGCTCCCCCTTTCGCCTCAGAGCGGCGGACAACTGTATGCCCTGGTAAGGCCTTCTTGCTCTCTGGCCACGCATCCTGAAAGGTCCACCGCTACCCTCGTCTCTGCGGTCCTGGGACCCTCCTGGCCCAGCCCTACACCCTGCTTTCGCCGCGCGCACTCTCACCACCCCCGCTGGAGGGTCTCGACAACGCCCACACACCCCTCTTTAGATCCAGCTCACAAAAATCTCTCCAACTCCTCGTTTCCCAGCCCCGCCCCCCCGGCCCCAACCCCTCAGCAAAAAAAAGCCAGGTTACGCTCGGGCTGGCAGAGCCCTAAGTTTAGCCCCACCCCCTGAAACTCGGAGCCCACAAACTCCGCCCCTTGGGGAAATCCCGGCCTCTTGGCACCGCCCCTGACGGCGCCACGCCCCCCTCAGGTACTGCAACGCCTTCATCTTCCACCTGGTCTACAAGCCTCCGCAAGGGAGCTGGGCCCGCCCGGCGCCAGGGCCCGCGCCTCCCGCCCCAACTCCTACCGCTCCTCCCGCCCCCGCCCGTAGGCGCCGAGGAGAAAAGAAACCTGGGCGGAGGGCCCGCCGGCGGAGGTGAGGGCGGAGAGGTAGAAGTCCACCCCCTCCCCTAACACGCCTCAGAAAGGAACACGAAACCGGCGAGGCCGAGGGGGGAGGCCAGTTGGCGGAACACGAAAGGTAATTAAACTTACTTGTTTGAAACCACTGAGTCAAACGCTCATAACTGGGTCCTTAAATGGAAAGAGGATTAAAGGATTTACGGATGACATTTTCTTCCATCTTTCTTCAGTTCCTCGAAAGCTGTCCCCTCTGGGATTCTGCCCTCCTGGGTAATCCCAAACTTCTTCTAATGTGTGTGTAGACAAGGCATTTTCCGGCCCCAGTAACAGGCAGGGACCGGATCCGAGTCAAGCAAGACCAAGAAACAGAAAGTGGCTTCTCTCTGGGGGGAGAGGGGACGGGGGCGGGGGCAGGGGAGGCATGCAACCTCCTAGGGGCACTCACAACCTTGGTTTAGAGTCAGTGAAAGACCCCAGCCACCCAACTGTCCAAGTTAGAAACTTCATGGCCATCCCTGACTCCACGTTCTCTCATCCTTCACGGCCCATAAAGAACCAGCTCCAGCTGAGTCAGGCTGCTGCTCACTCAACATCCAGCAGTTTATGTCCAGTCCCACTGCAAATGCCACCATATCTCGTGTTCCTTCCAAAACAGACATTCGAAACATTACTCCCTGCTTAAATCCCCTCAATGAACTTTCCTCTACTTTTAAAATCCCCGTGAGTGTGGGCCGGGCTTGATGACTCTTATCACAACGTATAGAAAGGGAAAAATAGTGGAGAAACCTGGCAGACACCACCTGCACCAAGTGACTAGTTTTACAAGAAATGAGAAGTCATGTTGACGTCATGCTCCCTGACATGATGCAATAAGGCCACATCCCCTCTGTAGTATTATTCCCCCAAATCCATAACTTTAGACTAATCATGAGAACACACCAGACAAAACCAATCTGTGGGACAGTCTACAAAACCCCTGACTGCTATTCTTCAAAAGCATCAAAGTCACGAAAAGCAAAGAAAGACCAAGAAACGGTGACAGATTGGAAGAGACTTAAGGAGACATGACAACTAAATACGATTCAGTATCCTGGTTTGGACCCTGGAACAGAAAAAAAAATTTAATGGAAAAACTGGAGAAATTCAAATAAAGTTTTCAGTTTAGCTAATGGTATTGTATCAATGCTAATTTCTTAGTTTTGATAAACACGCTGTGGTTATAGAAGAAGTAATAAGGAAGATGTGTGAGGAGTATTTGGGAACACTCTACTGTCTTTGCACCCCACCTATAAATCTAAAATTATTTCAAAAAAAAGTTTAAAATTTCAGACTCTTTAGTATGGCTTGTAAGTTGCTTCTCTTTCTGTCATCCTCTTTTATTATAACTATGTTATTATCAAAGTTTCCAAATATACACAAAAGCCCAGAAGATTCAGCATAATGAATCTCTATGTGCCCATCACCCAGCTTCAACAATTATCAACATTTTTCAAATTTTATTATTACTCCCTGTGATAATGTGATAATATAAGAAATATATATATTTGGTCTGCGTGCCCCATTTCTGGCACAAGAGCTTCTATAATCTGAGTGACAGAGGTGAGAGGAGCATCTTTTGTTATTCATAATAAGCCGCTTTCAACCATACCTGAGTTTAATAAGGTAACTCTAGGTGGGCCCTTATTTAACTTCAGGATGGAAGTTAGATACTAGAGGAACCAACCGCATGATTAGAGAGGGCTGAAACGTTCAGCCCCACCCCTTACTCTCCAAGGGAGAGGAGCGAGGCTGGAGATTAAGTTAATCACCAAGCAACCTGCATAAAAATCCCTAAACGATGGGCTTCAGAGAGCTTCTGGGTTAATGAACACACTGAGGTACTGAGGCTGGCACACCTGGAGAGAACATGGAAGCTCCAGGCTACCCCCTCTTCCCTCACCACACCTTGCCCTATACCTCTTTTCCGTTTTGCAGTTCCTTTACAACAAACCAGTAATAATTAGTAAACTGTTTTCCTGAGTTCTGTGAGCCATTTTAGCAAATTATTGAACCTGAGAAGGAGATCGCAGGAAGCCTCAGTTTATAGTCAGTCGGTCAGAGGGCCCAGGGCTTGCAATTAGCATCTGAAGTGGGGGCAGTCTTTTAGGACTGAGCCCTTAACCTGTGGCAGTCTGTGCTCACTCTGGGCCAGGCTTAATGACTCTTATCACAAAGTATAGAAAGGGAAAAATTCCGTGTCTGGAGTGATTGAATTGGGACTTCCCTGGTGGCACAGTGGTAAAGAATCTGCCTGCCAACACAGGGGACACAGGTTCAATCCCTGGTCTGGGAAGATCCCACATGCCGTCGAGCAACTAAGCCTGTGCACCACAACTACTGAGCCTGCGCTCTAGAGCCCACGTGCTGCAACAACTGAGCCCGTGTGCTGCAACTACTGAAGCCCACATGCCTAGAGCCCGTGGTACGTAAAAAGAGAAGCCACTGCAATGAGAAGCCCATGCACTGCAACGAAGAGTAGCCCCTGCTCACCACAACTAGAGAAAGCCTGTGTGCAGCAACGAAGACCCAACACAGCCAAAATAAATAAATACATACATACATACCCTATTTAAAAAATAAAAAAGAATTAATTGAATTGTAGGACACCCAGCTGGTGTCAGGGTAGTTGGCGAATTGGTTGGTGTGAGAGAACAAACAAAAACAAAACACCTATTTGGTGTCAAAAGTGCTATTAGTAAAAACAGCTAATAGTTGGTGTCAGAAGTGAGATTAGCTAGACTGGCCCTAGCTCACAGAAATATGTGGTTTGAGAGGAGAAAGGATAAAAAGATGGGAGATGCAGAACCTTTGATTCCTGGGTGGCCATGTGGTCACCCATGGCATGGAGCAGCAGCTGTGCTGCACTCAGTTACTAAAGGTAAAAGTAACAAATGGAATTTAAAATTGGATTCAACTCCCAAGAAGTTGTTTCACTAGATGCATAAGGAAATGCAAACCAATAAGAAAAAAAGTGAAATATACAATCCCTTGGTAATTATTTGCAATAGCTAAAATGAAATTTAAAAAGAGTTCTGGTTTGGACTTTGGTGCTAGACTAAGCTTGGGTTTGAGTCAGTCTGAGTTTTGGCCACCAGCCTCAAAGCTATCCAGTAAATAATTAGGCTGGGACAACAGAAAGTACCTCTAAGGCCTCTGCTCACCAAGAAGGTAGTCAGCATGGGGGGAAGGCAAAAACCAAGGATCTACTGAAACCAGGAATATAGTTGTGAAGGAGTTGCTTCATTTTGTAGATTGGTATCATCAGCTTCCTGAAGGACCTTTACTAAAATGGATTGTGAGAGTGACTAATTTAGGGGCAGTATCTTTGTTTATAAGTGCTCAGGATAGAACAGCATGTTTGGGTTGATACAGGACCCACAGTTCACTATTAAACAATCATAGATGGCTGTACGCCAACCAGACACACAGGAGGTTATTCCTGAGGAATAATCCTAAAGCTATCCAGGACCCACCAAAAGTCACCTCATTAACATAAACTCAGGTACAGTCAAAGGGGCCTGTTATGTATAACAAAAGACACTCCTCTCACCTCCTATCACTCAGGAAATTCCAAGGGTTTTCCACACGTTTGAGCCAAGAATCTGGGATGAAGACCAAAATATGTATTTCTTACATCACAATATCACACACCCCCAGCTGTTTCCCAGAGTGTTTTAAGGCACACCCCAGACATCAGTTAGCTCACTTATATGCATCTATAACTAATGAAGGCTTTTAAAAAATGTAACCACCATGCCATTATCATACCCAATAAAATTAACAATTATTCTTTAATATCTTATCATAATACCCAGTTCATATTCAAGTTTCTTTTCTTTTCTTTTTTTTTTGTGGTACGCGGGCCTCTCACTATTGTGGCCTCTCCCGTTGCGGAGCACAGGCTCCGGACACGCAGGCTCAGCGGCCATGGCTCACGGGCCCAGCCGCTCCACGGCATGTGGGATCTTCCCGGACCAGGGCACAAACCCTTGTCCCCTGCATCGGTAGGCGGACTCTCAACCACTGCGCCACCAGGAAAGCCCTCATATTTCTTGAATTATCTCAGAAATGGCTTTTACAGTTGGTTTGTTACAATCAAGAAATGAATAAGAGCTACACATGGCTTTCAGTTATTATCTCTCTTAAGTTTTTTTGTTGTTTTTCTATAACAGACCTCCTTCCCTTTTTTATTTTCAGTCCACTGATTCAATGAGAAACTAAATCACTTGTGCTGTAGAATGTTCCTCATTCTGGATCTGGCTGATTATTTCCTCTGGGTGTTTTTTTAATCTGTTCATCTATATTCTTTAGTTCTATAATCTGGCAGTTAGATCTACATGACAAACAAGGCCCTTTTAATGTGGCCGCCGCCAACCTCCACAGGCTGATCTCATCCTGCTTCCTGCCCCCTCCCTACCCTGGAGCCAGGGGCTCTAAATGAAGACACCACACTCTCTCAGTGTGGAACTTCCCTGTTTTCTTGCACAATTAATTCCTTCTCAGCCTAAAGCTCACTTCCTTAGGAAGGGAGGCCTTCCTTGACCCCAGATGAGGGTAGACACCCCCTGATAATACCTTGTAAATCCCCTACAGCCATAAAAGGGCAGCCTAGGTCCCTGGTGGATTGAGGGGAAAGAGAACTTTTCCCCACTCCCTTGGCCAGAAAAATAACCTCTCCCTAAGTTCCTGCCATCTCCTACGTGAAAGCATATTGTTATCTCTGAGCAGCGGGATTACTAAGGATTTGTTTATTCATTTTGTTTTGCTGTCCTGCTCATTCTTCTTCCGTGAACACACAGTACTTTTGTAATCAAAACGTTTAATTTACAAATTTGCCCACCTTAATAATTCACTTACTAAATACTGATTGAATGCACACACGGCTTTGTGTTAGAGATGCAGTGGGGGAAAAAAAAACTAGAGAATGGTCCCTGCTTCCATGAAATTTACAAGGATCCCTTACCCCCATCACTCTCTATCACATTACTCTTTTATTTTCTTTGAGCACGTATCACAGTTATTTTACTATGTCATTCATTTATTTATGTTTATTACCCCTCCTCCTCTAATACATACTAAAAAGTGAATTCCATGAAAGGGGAGACCTTGTCTGTCTGATTATAACTATGCCCCAGCACAGTGCCTGGGACGTAATAGCCACTCGGCATTTACTAAAGGAATTTTTTTTTTTTTCCGTCTGCGCAGCTTGAGGGATCTTAGTTCCCTGACCAGAGATTGAACCCCGGCCCACGGCAATGAAAGCACCGAGTCCTAACCACTGGACAGCCAGGGAATTCCCTAAAGGACTTTTAGAAACCTATTCCTGCTATACTGGAGGGAAAATGGACTGTGAGAGGGCAAGACTTGAGACGGATCAGCTAGGAGTTTTTGGTAGCAATACAGGCAAGAGCTGATGGTGCCTTGATGCTGGAGAGAAACAGGTTAAATCCTAGGGCTAATGAGGAGGTAGAAATAACAGATGGTGAGCAATTCTATTGGAACAAAGGGAGGGCAGAGAAGGAGCTGAACGTTCCCAGCCAGGACAACCAGATGGAAGGAAGTGCCGTGTGCTCACAGTGGGGACACAGGAAGAGAAGGGATGGAGTTAGAGCGGTTGGAAGGGGTGGGAGAGAAAGGTAATGAACTCAGGGTGGGACTTGTTAAGTTTGAAATGCTCATGGGACCTCGCAGTAGAGATTCTGGTAGGCAATTGACATGTGAGATGGAACTCACACAACTAGGAGAGTGGATGAGGACCCTAGAAAGAAGAAGGGGCCTTCAAAACGGAATCCTGGTGGAGGTAAGGATGGTCAGAGGAAGAGGAGGCAACTAGGGGAGGGAGAAGTGCTGAGAGCACTGGAAAACCAGGAGGGTTCAGAAACAAAGAAACGGTGCTCAGCTGTGCCAGACACTGCTTAGGCCAGGTCAGATCAAGGGGAAGAAATGTCCCCTGTACTTCACAACAAAGACAAGAGAGTATTCAACAGAGTGGTGGTGGCAGCCTTGAGAGGGCGGAGAGTGACAGGGAGGTGAATTGGAGGCAACAATTGGGCAACTTAGAGAATACAGAAGACCCTAAAAAGAAAATTCAAATGGCCCTCAATCCCAACACCCAGAGATAACCACCTTCGGCATTTTGGTGTGTTTACAGTCTCTTTTATCAAAATGTACATATTTTTACAAACTTTAATCATAGTGTACATCATGCTAACTAGCTTGCTCTTTAAATAAAACAATATGTTATGAACAGCTTTTGGGGACTTCCCTGGTGGCGCAGTGGTTAAGAATCCGCCTGCCAGTGCAGGGGGCACGGGTTCGAGCCCGGGTCCAGGAAGATCCCACATGCCGCGGAGCAACTAAGCCCATGCGCCACAACTACTGAGCCTGCGCTCTGGAGCCCACGAGCCACAACTACTGAAGCCCGCGTGCCTAGAGCCCATGCTCTGCAACAAGAGAAGCCACCGCAATGAGAAGCCTGCGCACCGCAACAAAGAGTAGCCCCCGCTCGCTGCAACTAGAGAAAGGCTGCGAGCAGCAACGAAGACACAACGCAGCCAAAAATAATAAATAAATAAATGTATAATATGTTATGAACAGCTTTTTATGTCATTAGATAGTCTCTTTGTCTCATCTGTCTATACAGATGGCTGTATATTAGTTTACTTTATGAATGTGACATGGCCTACTGGGACATTTAGGCAGTTCCTAATTTTTCTCTATTATAAAGGAAAGAGGAAGTAGAAAGTGTCCCAGCTGGGAACCAAAGCAGGACCCAAGACTGTCTGGGCCTCCCTGGTGGGCAGGGAGTTGATATGCCTGAGACACTTCGCATGGAGTTTCCGGCCAAGGAAGGAGGCAGGCAGTTTGCAGGGACCGAGGTAGAAGCGTAGGATGAAGAAGACAACATGGGTCTGTGTGGGGTGCTAGTCTCAGCCCAGCCTCGTGGACACAGATCTGAGGCCTAGAAGACAGGAACCACAGACAGAAGCCAAAGAGCCGCTGTAAAGCCGAGGGGCATGAAGAGAACAGCACAGCACCTAGAGCCCAGGAAGCAAAGTCATAACGCTTTCGCTGTCAACACGCCAGGAGTCCACACTGGCCAACATACCCGTCGTCACCTTGACTTATCCCCACATGACTCTGTTCATCCCCTCTTGGGTTCAATCTCCTACCTCCTCCCTTTCCTGCTCCAGATCCTCTCATTGGACCCTCTGGGATTTAAGGTCAAGATGCCCCAAATCATCCACCTCTTC